AGCTTCGATAACTCGATATGTTGTTAAAGAGGTATCCGTTACTTTAGAATAAATTATTTACAGATCGAATTATCTATTTTCGTGTTGTTCCAACCTGGAAAACTTCAGTTGCTATTTTTGTAACACCCAAGAAATGATATGTAATCGAAGACGGCCCTGTTAACTCGATAAGCAACTTCCGACTAAATTGTACAGTACTGTTACTCGATGCGAACCAATACGGCCACTAGTTGATATGCATTTTTCTTCGCCCAGTGATTAACACACTGTTGCAATATGGCTTCGTATCTTGTAGAATTGTCTCTTTAGTAAATAATGCTCTCTTGGACAATAAAATTAGAAGAACTATTTTGGGTTTAACAGAGAGGAAGAAATCTGTATTAGTGAGGCTAAACCATCAAGTACGTATGGCCTTGGATTGTTATTGTTTTACGAAATTAAGAAAGAGCGAGTTTAATCGAAGAACATCACTACGAGCTATCGTTTGCCAGCGACTTGAGCAAAGTCCGCAAAGTGTGTGACTTTTTTGCCATCGCGTGTGCGTACAAAGGTACATCGCGTGGTCTTAGACCCATGTTCAGCCAAACGTGACCATTCGGCTGAAACCAATCGATCGCACTTGCATAGCACGGTGTCATCAGACCGGCCGCACGCGCTCAGAATTTCTGTTTCATCACGATTAAACAGGGCTCCGTAAGCTGTGCGACACACTGGCAGACTGCGTATCAAGTTAAAAGACGCAGGGCTTGTTTTGTTCGCAGGATACAGTACACAGCTGGCGCGGAGTTTTTATTACACGAAGAAGAAACGGTTTAATGCACTCGCGCGCGTGGGAAGCCCATTCAAAACCACCCTGCTGGATACCATTCAAAAACACTGTTAAGATATCACGTTCGCAACATTGTCGTTGAAACAACCAGTGAACGATTGCATAACGGAAAGGTTTCCTTGCGCGAAAGAATAACATTAGCCGTTTGTATAACGCAGTACGTGAGCATTCGATAAACTTTAGGACGTCGCAGGTCAAACCTTCAGATTATGAGGGTGTTGGCCGTAAGCCCGATATGTTAATACCGGATCTATTGGTTGTACTTTCTCTGTTCTTTCTTTAGCTGATGGCGTGTTACTTGAGCATACCCAAGAAAAATAAACAAGCACTGCCGAGAAGTGTAAACATTTACTTAGTCGATTATGTGTCAGACACTTTGTTAAGTACAAGATATGGCAGTCAGGTTTAATCTGCTGAAATATCCATGTACGTGAGCCGGATTAGAGTACGCGAAATAGGATCAGTTTCAGTGAGCATTGAACTCTCTTGTACTCCATGGTTTCTCTTTTGGAACTGAAAACAATTTTTCCTGAATACAACGCGTTGCTCGGTTACATCAGCTCCTTCTAATGTAACAAAAACGACCCGAAAACATTGTTTTCAGTCTTCTTAAAGTTCCTATTAAGAATTTTATCTCTTTTGCCCCGGAGGTAAGATTGAAAATTTGAAAGTCAAATTTTGGTCAAATGGTAGATACGCGCTTTAGCAAGTCGTAAATGCTTTACTATTTACATCAGCTGTCGTTTCAACACAATTTCGGTTAACTAGAGTGATCTGTGTTTTTTTTTCTAGAAGTGCTCTCTCTCTTAACTAGTCCATGGGGCAAAAGTAATAAAAGTGAGCGATTGAGCTCTCAATTTAATAGAAAGTCGCATCTACATCCATATGGGCAACCATTAACACAAAAACACAAAAGACTACTTCGCTACATGGGTAGGAAATGATATTCAGAGATACAGGCCGGGAAAATACAGTAATTAGCCTTCGAATAGGAATGAAACTGTATGTGAATTTATGATAGCTTTTTTAATTAAAACTCTTGGAATATTACTGTCGTGGCTTTTGAGATGGGTAAGTTTGTTTCATTTTATCGATCTCATTTCGAAACTGCGTCCTTGAAGGAAGGAATTGTTCCCTTTTGGAGAGTGTAACAAAGGTAAATTTCAAAGTTAAAATGAGTGTTCTGAACAAAAATGACATTGCGTGATCGACATGATAACAAGAAATTTCAATTTGGTGAATATTAAGGCAAGAATCCAAAACGTCTCGGAAGGAGGCTGTTAACATGAGCATTGTTAATTGTGCCGTGTTTAAGAGTTTTCAGCAACATTGAAACCACAAGCGAAAAGTCACGAGATTTTCCTGAATTTTTGATTTATGGGAGGCTGTACGTTAAATCTCAAAATATCAGGTTTTACTACGTAAAAAAATGTCAAATGTTTCAGTTTAAAACTGTGCCTGTTTAGGAAATAAAATTTCAATCCAAAAGAAGAAAATTGCTTGAAGATTGGCACCGAGGCGGTGTTGTTTAAAAACCAAACAGAACGCATTGATTTTGGTGAAGTCTGTAGAGAAGATCGTTTTTGTCAAAACAAGGCAATTTGTGTTGATACCATAAACAGCTATTGTAGGTCGTCCTGTTCTTTGTAAAAGGTTCTTCCAAACATTTGGGACTCAGTCAGTTTATTTCAAAGCGCACTCCATTGAATCTAGCTGTTTAGTGATGACATTTAAGCGCTGGAACAACATAAAACTGCGAGATATTGATTTATGTAATGGAAGAAGTAATAATGTTTGGTATATTTAAGAGCCAAGTTTGTTGTTCTCGAAAGGTTTTGTAAAATATGTGTGCTTTCTTGTTGTTTCAATCTTGTTTTAGAATGTCAAAAGGACGTTTATTAACAACAAAAGCGCAAAGACATCTGTTTTTGCTTTAATAAAACCTCTGTGAATCAAAAACAGTTACGCGACGCGAAAACAAGATTCGCCAGGATTTAGCGCAAAATCTTACAACAATTACAAATTGTTGTCTTGGGAGAAATTTCGCGTATATTTTTANTTAGTCGTGATAACTGAAGAAAAAAACGTACAAAACACACAAAAAAGCTGTTAACTTGCGGGCATATATCTTCAATATTAGAAGATATGCGATGATTAATACGAGACATTTTTTTTGTGTTCCGAGTCGCCTGCAACGGTCCAAACTGACTTATATATCAGTTGACAAAACGCTTATTGCATGCATGGGTATCTCATCGCGAAATATACAGGTCCAACTGTTTCGTCGACAGCTGAAATGAAAGGATAAACAGAGGAACTTGATTATAGGAACCAAAGTCAGTCCGGAATCGCCAATGTATGAAATCATCAATTTATTCAGCCTTTATTTCGATTCACGTTCGCCAAATTGTGGGAACATTAGAAGAAAGCGTTATCATTTTGATCAATTCCAATTTTTAACTATTTTCTGGAAACTTCGGAGTACAACATGAAATAAACAATCAAAACAATGAAGTTCTTTTTCTTGAGCGTTTAATGTTTTTGATTAAAAACCACACAACAGAACATGGATGAACTTTTAATCCCGGTTTTGTGGCCGGGAGCATTTATTTTGTTCATGTGTTTTTATCGGTTAGTAAACCAAGTTGTGTACGATTTTATCACTGCAAGGCACGGTCTTAGGTTGGCAGATTCTCATTTTTCCAATCTTAAATTTTAGAATAAAATGTCGCTGTATTCTGGCGGAGCTAAAATTTCATGATATTTGAAATAATTTGAGATTACCGCCACTATTGCGAGTTCTGTTTTTAAAAGGGAACTGTTTAATTCAGTCATGTTGTAATAACTTGTGTATATCTGCAAAGCAGATGCAACTGGATCACGAAATTGAGTCGAAACTTTCGGAAGCTCTTGGTAAGCTGTCCGAAATCTTCCAACGACTTTATGTTCGTGAAAAGTTTGTCTCTTTTAAAAAACGGCCAGGGTATAAAAATTTTTTTCCATACACGATTCCTTTGTTCGAGAGGAAATTGCAAGACAAAGACGAAATTTCTACCCACGACAAAAATGCCTTGGAAAATTACTTTTCTTTCCTAGAATCGTGTATAATTGCGGAGAAGTTGCTTTCTAATGGCGCCTTTCACATCGCGATAACCATCGGCGAATTCTCGATACGTTTAGAGGTTTCAAAATTACTTTAATTAGTCCTGACTCGTAAGAGATGGTAAGCGATCGTTATTTCAAAGCCGGCGTTATAAAAACTGATCAAGGTCTGAGTGGTTTGGAATACCCCCTGTACTTTTCAAATACACTTTTCTTTATCCGAATTTTTTTGTTGTTGTTGTTAATTTATTTCCCTAGTTTATTAATGACCGGGAAGAAAAAACAAAACACAAAAATGGAATTTTCGTTTTTCGTTTTTAATATAAGGAATAAATGGAGAAAGATAATAGATTTGTTTTCTTAGCGCGATCGAGAGGGTACAACAAAGTTGTTCGAGTGGGTGCCCTTTTCACGTCAAGCTACCACCTGTGATTGGTCTCCGCCGGCGGGAAAAAACGGAGGCAGTCTGTGCATATTGATTACAACTTGTTTAAACGGTCTTGAATGATGCATGCGTGTTGACTGAACTTAAGGTTGCTGACGGTCTCGCCAAAAGGCCATAAATTTCTATCAAAATGTTGCCACAGAGACGCGGTGTAATTGAAAACCGTTGAAAAACTTCTGTACGATGCCGGAGTCCGGTACGCCGATTTGTACCAACAATTGTTCCATTCAAAACTAACGTGAGCTGAGGTGTAAATGATATTTTATAACTCCCGTTTTCTGGCGGCGCAATTGAAAGTCGCATTCTTATTTCACCCTAAGTTTCCCTCTTTACGGAAATAACCGGCTCAGAAAATTATCTCACGTTATATTAGCACTTGCTCACACTTAATGTATCGCTTACACGCCCACGCGAAATAGAAATATATGCCTGATATCATTTTGGCTTTGGCAAACCCGATACTTACGGAAAAGGATGTTTTACGCAATACCTATATTTTTCTTTCAGTGGGTTAAAAAAAATATGTAACATATATGCAAGCCTTTTTATGCCATAAGCACGTTTCAAACGAAGTTGACTTTTACAACAGAAATTTGTGAAAATATTTCGATGAGCAGATTACCATTAAAAGTGTCTTCGTTATGGAAACTGTTAGCCGGAAAGTCAATTCGTGTCTTACTCGTATTTTATCAGAGGTAGATCAGTAAGAGATGGCGCCCCATAATTGTACAACAGCTTACGTGCTGATACGCACTCTGCACTCTGATTGGTCACGCACAAAGCAGCGCTGTGAGTGGTCGAAAATAAAGACAATGAAACCCTTTTAACATAATGTAATTGACAGTTGCATTGTCTGTCCTTTGTATGGTATTTTAGTTACCCAGGTAGTAAGAAAACGTGTTTCTACTTACAACACCTTAGGTGGCGGTTGGTTGGTTTTTATAGGAGTCAAAACGAACTCGCTAAACAGTAGGACAACACTGTGAACACTATCTAACTCCGCTCCAAATTTTGAGGTGAGATAAAACGGTCGTAATTTTTTACCTGTGAGTGGGAACTGTTTTCGGAGCAATTCTGTGTGATGATTTTATTCAGTGTTCTAGCTATGAATATGTAAGATTGCAACGTTGTTACTGATACTTTGCTTTGCTTTCGAATGAAAATTCGGCGCGAAGAATCGAGCAATCCGCAACTTAAATTTATACCTTTTTTTTTTTACTTGGTTGTATATTTTGTGTCTGTCCTGTTGGCCAGTTCTTTAAAGAACTCAGCCAGCAAACTTTCCGTAGAGATCGAGAGAGAGAGAAAAAATAGCAATTTGAGTGAGTGAGTCTGTCTTTGTTATTTCAGTTTACCTTAAAAATCGTATGCCAGCGAATTCACAATGTGTGCTCCTCATGCAAAATAAGCGGCGATTTAAAATTTCGAATTTTTGCATTCTATAGATAAATTCCGCTTTGGAACAGCTTTGCAAAATAATTTGGCAAAGAAATATTTATTTTCGTGACTTTTTGGAGCGCGTTGATCTATCTGTTTAACCTCGAAGTGTACTCTTTTGTATAATGTTACGGTTAAAAGTAATCGAATATTCTGGGTCGTGGATCGTGGAATATGTACACTTAAAAACAGCTCGCTATTTTTAGCTGTCTGTGGCATGAAATTATGTTCACGCGAAAATCTTGGGCAGCTTTTCACAGCTTCGATAACTCGATATGTTGTTAAAGAGGTATCCGTTACTTTAGAATAAATTATTTACAGATCGAATTATCTATTTTCGTGTTGTTCCAACCTGGAAAACTTCAGTTGCTATTTTTGTAACACCCAAGAAATGATATGTAATCGAAGACGGCCCTGTTAACTCGATAAGCAACTTCCGACTAAATTGTACAGTACTGTTACTCGATGCGAACCAATACGGCCACTAGTTGATATGCATTTTTCTTCGCCCAGTGATTAACACACTGTTGCAATATGGCTTCGTATCTTGTAGAATTGTCTCTTTAGTAAATAATGCTCTCTTGGACAATAAAATTAGAAGAACTATTTTGGGTTTAACAGAGAGGAAGAAATCTGTATTAGTGAGGCTAAACCATCAAGTACGTATGGCCTTGGATTGTTATTGTTTTACGAAATTAAGAAAGAGCGAGTTTAATCGAAGAACATCACTACGAGCTATCGTTTGCCAGCGACTTGAGCAAAGTCCGCAAAGTGTGTGACTTTTTTGCCATCGCGTGTGCGTACAAAGGTACATCGCGTGGTCTTAGACCCATGTTCAGCCAAACGTGACCATTCGGCTGAAACCAATCGATCGCACTTGCATAGCACGGTGTCATCAGACCGGCCGCACGCGCTCAGAATTTCTGTTTCATCACGATTAAACAGGGCTCCGTAAGCTGTGCGACACACTGGCAGACTGCGTATCAAGTTAAAAGACGCAGGGCTTGTTTTGTTCGCAGGATACAGTACACAGCTGGCGCGGAGTTTTTATTACACGAAGAAGAAACGGTTTAATGCACTCGCGCGCGTGGGAAGCCCATTCAAAACCACCCTGCTGGATACCATTCAAAAACACTGTTAAGATATCACGTTCGCAACATTGTCGTTGAAACAACCAGTGAACGATTGCATAACGGAAAGGTTTCCTTGCGCGAAAGAATAACATTAGCCGTTTGTATAACGCAGTACGTGAGCATTCGATAAACTTTAGGACGTCGCAGGTCAAACCTTCAGATTATGAGGGTGTTGGCCGTAAGCCCGATATGTTAATACCGGATCTATTGGTTGTACTTTCTCTGTTCTTTCTTTAGCTGATGGCGTGTTACTTGAGCATACCCAAGAAAAATAAACAAGCACTGCCGAGAAGTGTAAACATTTACTTAGTCGATTATGTGTCAGACACTTTGTTAAGTACAAGATATGGCAGTCAGGTTTAATCTGCTGAAATATCCATGTACGTGAGCCGGATTAGAGTACGCGAAATAGGATCAGTTTCAGTGAGCATTGAACTCTCTTGTACTCCATGGTTTCTCTTTTGGAACTGAAAACAATTTTTCCTGAATACAACGCGTTGCTCGGTTACATCAGCTCCTTCTAATGTAACAAAAACGACCCGAAAACATTGTTTTCAGTCTTCTTAAAGTTCCTATTAAGAATTTTATCTCTTTTGCCCCGGAGGTAAGATTGAAAATTTGAAAGTCAAATTTTGGTCAAATGGTAGATACGCGCTTTAGCAAGTCGTAAATGCTTTACTATTTACATCAGCTGTCGTTTCAACACAATTTCGGTTAACTAGAGTGATCTGTGTTTTTTTTTCTAGAAGTGCTCTCTCTCTTAACTAGTCCATGGGGCAAAAGTAATAAAAGTGAGCGATTGAGCTCTCAATTTAATAGAAAGTCGCATCTACATCCATATGGGCAACCATTAACACAAAAACACAAAAGACTACTTCGCTACATGGGTAGGAAATGATATTCAGAGATACAGGCCGGGAAAATACAGTAATTAGCCTTCGAATAGGAATGAAACTGTATGTGAATTTATGATAGCTTTTTTAATTAAAACTCTTGGAATATTACTGTCGTGGCTTTTGAGATGGGTAAGTTTGTTTCATTTTATCGATCTCATTTCGAAACTGCGTCCTTGAAGGAAGGAATTGTTCCCTTTTGGAGAGTGTAACAAAGGTAAATTTCAAAGTTAAAATGAGTGTTCTGAACAAAAATGACATTGCGTGATCGACATGATAACAAGAAATTTCAATTTGGTGAATATTAAGGCAAGAATCCAAAACGTCTCGGAAGGAGGCTGTTAACATGAGCATTGTTAATTGTGCCGTGTTTAAGAGTTTTCAGCAACATTGAAACCACAAGCGAAAAGTCACGAGATTTTCCTGAATTTTTGATTTATGGGAGGCTGTACGTTAAATCTCAAAATATCAGGTTTTACTACGTAAAAAAATGTCAAATGTTTCAGTTTAAAACTGTGCCTGTTTAGGAAATAAAATTTCAATCCAAAAGAAGAAAATTGCTTGAAGATTGGCACCGAGGCGGTGTTGTTTAAAAACCAAACAGAACGCATTGATTTTGGTGAAGTCTGTAGAGAAGATCGTTTTTGTCAAAACAAGGCAATTTGTGTTGATACCATAAACAGCTATTGTAGGTCGTCCTGTTCTTTGTAAAAGGTTCTTCCAAACATTTGGGACTCAGTCAGTTTATTTCAAAGCGCACTCCATTGAATCTAGCTGTTTAGTGATGACATTTAAGCGCTGGAACAACATAAAACTGCGAGATATTGATTTATGTAATGGAAGAAGTAATAATGTTTGGTATATTTAAGAGCCAAGTTTGTTGTTCTCGAAAGGTTTTGTAAAATATGTGTGCTTTCTTGTTGTTTCAATCTTGTTTTAGAATGTCAAAAGGACGTTTATTAACAACAAAAGCGCAAAGACATCTGTTTTTGCTTTAATAAAACCTCTGTGAATCAAAAACAGTTACGCGACGCGAAAACAAGATTCGCCAGGATTTAGCGCAAAATCTTACAACAATTACAAATTGTTGTCTTGGGAGAAATTTCGCGTATATTTTTAGATTGCAACGCTACCGAAATATATTTCAGGGGCTTAATATAACGCCCAAAACTGATTATAAAATCTTGTTTTTGTAGTGTGTGATGATTACAACGATTTTGGGTTCGATAAAAGGTCGTGTCATACAGAATAGATTTCATGAAACGGCCGGGAACACAATATGACACAAGAATGTCTCGTCAATCACGATCTACTTGGGAAAATATTTTTAAAGCTTGCTAAGTTTTCATCTTTTGTAGCTGCATCGATTCCGCATAGCGTTTTGAACAGTACAGGAAAACCATTCAATCGCTAGATGTTCTTAAAGGGTTTATACGTATAATTACCGCACGCGAGCATAGCGAAATATACATCAATACACCAATGAAACATTTCCGAAGCAAAAATGCCAGGAATTAGAAACATAGAGGTCGTCCACGAATTTGTTTTTCAAATGTCAGTCGCTAAGCAGATTGTAGATATTTAGCGTCACATTTTTTTTTGATGTAATCAATGGGTAACATGTTTTGAAACTACCGTGGTATGACTCTCGACCTGCTCCGAAAACAACCGTTTCCGATGAAGGATTCGCTAACAGTTAATACTCTAAAGCATGCTTTATTTCCACGTTTGGATATTTTAGCATTTTCTCATAGGAAACAGGAAGAGATTAAACTGGAAACTTCGATGGACACTTTTTTTTTTTCCCCTCAAAGCTCCGTATACTTTGAGGTCTTTTAAAGACTAGTTTGTATAATTTCCGATAACAGACGGATTTTTACGTTCTAAAAAAAACTTTTAACAGTTCCTCTGTTACCTTTAAACTTGTATAGTAGACCAGTTAATTTTGAACTGCGTGTCAAGTCATATATGACCGGGATAAAGTGCGACGGATTTGAACGTTGCTCAGCTCCACTGAAACGTAAAGCATTTGCACTAACCGAAGGCCGGGTTTTCAGTTATGCAACTCCAAACATGTACGCACATGTATCCAGTCTCTTCTGTATCATCTCAGAAATCTTTGAAATGTCAAGGACGTTTTGCGAGAATTAAATGACCTTTTAAAAGCATTTAAAACGCTTAACAATATATTTTCTTTGTCCAGTTATAACTTCGAGTATGTTTGGTATTTGTGCGGTTACGACACCAAATTTAGTTTCAAAATATCTTTAAAAAGCGACATTCGGTAAATTCCATCTACGTCCTATTATGAAATTAACAGAATGATGTAACATTTTCCTAGCCTCTTGGCCTTCTGTGTGTTTTTCCTGTGCTTTGCTGACTTGTTTTCTGAGACGTGCTACTTTGTTGGCAATATTTTTAGAAGGCAATGCTCCGCTTACCCCAACTATACGTCAATTCGTTCGGTTTTTAAAATAACCTGGTCGGAATTCAAACAAAATCTATTTGATCTTATCAAAACATTGGGCTGAATAGCTTATATCTTCGGTTTATAATGACTTTTGTTATTAATTCTTACCTGTTTGTTCAGGTTTATAGTCCGATAAATTTTCTGCGATTATCGGATTGTTTCTTTTGTTTTGTTTTGTTTTGTTTTGTTTTGTTGTTGTTGTTGTTTTTTATTGCCTTCTTGTATTCCGAGAAACTTCGGCAAATAACTAGAAAAGCATGAGGAACGGCGAAACGAAACGGGTCCCTCTGAGAACATAAAATAAGCAAAGAAAACAAGTCATCCTACATCATTAAAAGGTCATTCAAGACCTGGAGGTTTTTCGGCTGTAATAACAACCCTGGATGTATGTAAAGCGATCAAATTCAGTCAATCTTTTAAGCTGCAGTTGAAGACAAAAATACTTCAGATCTTTCCTAATATAGCTTTTTTAAACTCGATATTCTCAGACATTACAGTTCAGCTAATCTACGCTAGCATACCTCCAGAATACAGTGCATGGTTAGTGTCGATAACGAATATGGCCAATTTTTAACTAATCTTCGTCCTGCTCGAAAGCTTGATTCTCTTGAGTTGTTATTGCCTTATATTAGTTTTAAGGATAGCTTTGAGTATTTGGAAGCGCGTGAAGAAAGCATTTCTTCATTGATTTTCATGGCATCTTTCCACTTCACAATGTGTTGTTAAGGGTGAAATTCAAAGATTTCCTTCGCTCCTCAAAGTTAAAGAATTAATATTTTCAAACAGGGTTATTTGGAAACCTAAAACCTTTCTCGTTTTCCTTGCACCAGGTCAGCGTGCCATTAAATAGCAAAATATGAATGTACAGAAAAATGTACCTTACAAACACAGAAAATGTGAATGATTTAAAACGTCCGTTTTTACTTGTGAACGCTTTTGTTAGGAAACAGTATAAGTTATTTGGGTATAGTGAAAATTGTTTTCCACATCAAAATGAATGGTTTAATCGCAAATAGAAAATTAAAGTCGAAAATTGAACTGAATATTCTTCCACGAGTTCGTTACATTCGTTTCAAAGCGAATGTGGAGTGAATTCAAGATTTAAGGTTTTAGTTCGCACGGCGAGTGAAACAACCAAAATACAACAGCTTCTGACTTCCTCTGCCATTTATAATTTTAGAGAACTTTATTTCTAGACAGTGCCGGAATAGAAAGACGTCTGGTTTTAAGAGCTTGTTAATCACTCCGCTTTATTGCGGTTCCCTTTGCAATTGATAATGTCTCGCTGAGCTTTTAAGAGGTTCGATGTTTTTGCTTTAGAAATTAATTTTTTAAAAACATGCTTTCCTTGTGATACCAAAGTCTTCCCGTTGAAGGCTAATTTAGCATCCCAGGATTAATTTGGTCTTTTAAAAATCTTTTCAACTCATATTCTAAGGCACTTGTCAAGCTACCGTCGGGACAATTTTGTGATTTCATATTTTTTATTTTGGAAGCAATTACCACGAAACTCTAACAGCTGACTTATATAATTTCATTTTTCAGGCGTGTGCCATGAAAAACGACAAATGAGAAAATACAAAGTGTTTTATACTTCTATCAGAGTGTTTTAATTCGCAATAATTGAAAAAAGGCCGCCCTTTATACCCCTTTCTTAATTAAGCTATTGCTGAGGGACACCTGCTTTTTATATATCTCAGTTTTGACTTAAGTCGAGCGCAAATTACAGCGAGTAAATTTCTATCAAGTCATATGAATAAATTTCCATGGTGTACTTTTGTTAATGGTTGGATCAAACTGCTCCGAATGGGCTAGCTTCCTTGAATAAAGGAAGTACTTTCTGAAATAAGTTATGAGGGTGTCCAAAAATACACAATGGTAGTACTTTATTTACTAGGCTGTCCTCGAAATCGAAGAGCAAAATATTGTAAAGGTAAATTAAGCAGTCAAGAATCTTATGGTCAAGTTTGTGTCCCCTGAAAAGACCACAACTGATTGGAGTAAACTAGACTAAATGATTAAAAAATGTCAGTGTCAAGTATAAAAATTAGCGATCTTATGCTATTGAGAAACTCGACGATTTCGTATAGTTATTGAGGGAATATGGAGATCGTATTGACAAACAGATAAACAGATTTGATATCCATATCGCGCTAGCCTAAACAAGGGTGTGGAAAAATGGTTAGCACCATTTAACCGTCCTTGAGTGAATGCAAGTGCCTCACAAAGAGGAAACGCGATTGTAGCAATTTTGCCAAAAAGCTTTCGCAACAGCTTTAATAAAGTAACCAACACAGCCCGTGATGACTTCCTTAGGGCGTGTTTTGAAGTAAATTCAGGCGTTTCCCAAACTGAGTAGTCCATTTGAAGCGGCCATTAAGGAAACTTTGAGTAGTCGTTTTACAAAATTGGCCACTTGAAATGAGTAGAATTATAATGCAAATCATACGCCTATGTATGAAATCAAGTAAGATTTGTTAAGCTTAAACTTGCATTGTTTTTTTTTTCTTTTTGGCCAACGAATGAAGTATTTTGTACAACATGTGTTCGATTCCCATAGACACACATTGATATACATAGGTACATTGAAAACTGCATTTTTTAGTTTTCCGGATTCTCGCTTATTTTTGTAAATGTAAAATATATTTGACACCTCTACGTCTGCCCTCGAGCAATTGGCCTAAGTTCTACTCATTGTTTTTTTCGACTCAGTGGAAATACAAGATCTATTAAAAGAAAACGGCAAAAGCCTTTCTGGGGCAAATTTAACATTTGTAGGCTTAAGCTATCACTTAAATTTCTACTGATAGAAATCATATAAGATTAAAATAAAGCTTTTAATGATCAGAATTGTGTTGAAATGTATACTAAGCATCTTGTAACCTTGAAAACAAAACGAGAAAGAGTTTCTTTATGGTGAAACAACGATTAAATACACAAGAGCTTTTTGCGCGATTTGTTGAAGCAATTGATGAAAGTTATTTTACGGCGGGGTATTTCTCATAGAGCTGACAAGTACAATTTTAATGAGAAGTAAAATGAAAGAAACGGGTGTCAACTATTTTTCTTTAAGAGCGCAGAAGACAAATTAATGGGCAAAAAGAATATAATTAATAGATCAGCAAGCTGTTAAACTATTCCGTGTTCGGCTAAATTTAAAAATTAAGTACACCGTTTTGTTTTAGTGAAGTCTTTTTAACAAGGAATTTATGCCGCTTTGGCAAAATCGATCTCTACAGTTTGAATTGCGCATAAAGTTTTTGATTCAACTTTTGCCGTTTTGTTTTATGTTGGCAGCTCCGGAAAAAATACTGTTCATTACTTCGTAAAGAGACTTTTCTCGTATTTCCTGCTTTTACAATATCAATTGTTTACGTATTCATGGTGCGAGATCATGTATAAGTTATTTGAACGAAATATCAGTGCAAACCGCAGTCGCGAATGCTTGTTTCGTCGCCTGCAGGTCATTTTTTAAAACGAGCTGTTGTTTTCCTTTCTTAGGGTAAGAGATTCTATTTCAACAACCGAGTTGTTACCGTACTCATCAAAGACCACTTTGGCAGTCGCATCGTTTGGCAAAATGTAAGTTGTAAGCTCTAATTTTTTCTCAGTTCATTCAGTTGTTCTTCTTCTAGTTACGTTTCTGACGGCATTTCCATAATATATTGGCATCGCCCATGTATGCCCGCCTGAGGTCGCGAGTTCCAATTCCTGCTAAAGCCATTTTTGCGAGCGTTTTCTTTGCAAAGTATCGACTTCAGTCTTTAATACTCGCGAGCTGATCTATTTCTTTGCCATTCCCTATCTATAATTTTCGTATGCGCTTGTAAATATCATACAATACTGATGCCATTATATTTATATTAGTCTTGGTAGGTAACTGCTCAAGGAATGTACAGAGTGTACCAAAACAGTAATCTATTTGTATTTTATAGTTTTGGCACAATCATGCAATATTTTAAATGGTCTTAGATACCCATGGAAATTTTCTGCTGTAAGATCATTTCACAAAGTACACGTTTTGAGTTACGTAAGTTGATGTCCCTCTCGCTACGTTGCTTTTTTATTGAAAGAACTTCAGCCAAATTTACTCTTCACATCGATCACTGATTCTCTTTTCGATGTCGGTATTACACGGCGTACGCAAGCCTAAACTAGATCACGATATTCATCGCATAAAAAAGCAATCGTAGACTAATGCAGCTCTAATTTCTCCATTTTGAAGCTAGTTAAGGGAGCTCAGCTCGGGAATGTGCGAATTTCAGTGTTAGTTCGGAAATCCCATAATAGAACATTTCCATTAAAAGACTTTTTCTGAAATATTCAAGTAGGACCAAAAAGATCTGTTGAAAAAGAAATACAGTTCACGTAGTCTTTTGTAGGGCAAAATCCTTAGGACAATATTTACAGACAAATGCATGGAAGTTAAATTGAAAACACTACTTTCCAGCACCAATTGAGGGCACTATACCTTACATCTTCTAGCGGAAACTCTGTGTTGAATGCGGTTTCTGAAATGTTCATGTAGTTGTATTGGAAAGCCCGAAGTCCATATGTTTTCTTTGTTGTTTTCGAGCTAGTCAAATGGTATTGTAATATTCACAGACACGCATTCAAAACAAGATCGAAAACACTTCTTGCCAGCTTAAATTGAAGTCAATATCCCCTACATGTAATAAGTGTTTTGCTGGATATGTTTCAAAGATTTCAAATATTTTAGAACACATTTTTAAGAAACATTGCAGTTCGTCTCATGGTTCCATTTGTAGAAACTGATCATCTCAACTTGATCGATAGTTTTCAAGTGACCGATTTATACATTTAGGAAAATGATTTCTCTTGCTATTTAAGAGATAATCATTACAAAATATTGAGATGTTTACTGGAGTTTTTAGTGCTTTGAAAACTCTTATTATGCAATAAGCCTTAAAATCACTGATAACAAAGAACAACAACGAATCAAAAACTTCGCTTTTTTCATGTACAACTTAATCACACAGAGTAGGTAATAAAAGGTTTGCGTCGTTCAAATTCAAGAACTTTCTCTCGAAAACTTGGGCCATGACCGCGGCTTTCGGCGATGAAGTTGTTAAGCAACACGACGTCACACTCCCGTGGGCGCTGGCGTTATATTTGATTGGTCGGTAAGAACTCGGAAACCCTTCGAATGCTCCTACGAAGATTGACCAAAACCGGAACTCGTTCGCCCGACGGTTGACGTGATATTTCAGAACGGTGACAATATTAATATTATCTTCGTTCCGGTCTCACGTGCCTTGAGGATTTTCAATCAATTTTAAGACATCTCAATACTAATTTTTTTGCTCAAAATCAAGCTGTCAAAAAAAAAAGAAATGTATCAATCGCTTTAAGGTCCAAGCAAACTGGGTGCTCGTTCAACTTGAGTGAAACCGGCTTTTTTTTTTAAATGATTGACAACTTATTTCTCCTTTCAACCTCAACACAAAGTCAATGATACAGGTTATGACAATAAGAAATTTCATCAGTTCTTCGATGTTGTCGTTATATACTACCAAATTCTCAGACCTAAAATTGAATGAAATATATGGCAACTTGTGCGGAGAATTTATAGTTGGATCGAGCTTGGGTTAGAGAATGACCTGACTGTGTAAAAATGTGTAAAGGCATTCAACGAGGCTTTTATTATATTTTACGCCGTTTTTTAGTTCCGCTCCCTACGGACTAAAATAGAAAAGAGGCTACTTGAATTCTTCCGACGATAAATTAGTAATTAATGTTGTCGCGTTCATATCTTATTAAGCCATGGCGCCGTTTCAGTCAGCTATCAGCACAAATCGTGACCACGAAAATGTACGTGTGTTAAGTTCCTCCAACGTAACGCTTATTTCAAATAATACGTGCAATTTTTTAATATGCGCCCACTTGCGCTATTAACGGTCGCCTCCCATTCTGTACGAAGTCTCGTATAACTTGTCCCACGCATTAATATAACGACAAAGCATATATATATCTACATAGGTGGATTACGTTTGCCAGAAATCAAATTTCTCAATCGTTTTTTCCTTGGCTTATTTGCAGGATGAGTGAAATACTCCCTCAGGTACCCTCCCCTGGTAGCGCCTTGTACCACCGCATTCCAAAATGCGCGCGCTGCCGTAACCACGGTGCTCTGTCGTGGCTCAAGGGACACAAACACTACTGCAGATGGAGGGACTGTACTTGCTCCAAATGTCTTCTCATCGCTGAGCGCCAGCGAATAACGGCCGCTCGAGTGGCTCTTTTGCGACAACAGCGAAAAAACTCAGAAATGACGCATAAAATGGGACCCAAAGACAGCGACAAGGAACAAGTGGGAAAAGGTTTTGGAGAAGATGTTTATCAAAGACCTTCAATGGTGCTTAACTCGATGTCTACGATACATGGCAGGAACGACAGTGATACAGATTATGAAGGTAAGGTTTAGGTCCTTTATGAACTAGTGTGTGTATTCAGAAATTCTGAAAACAAAAGATCAGTCGATAGCTGGTTGATGATTTCAACCTTAATGGCCGATACAAATTTTAATCAATATCAGTTCTTAGATACCAAATATTAGAAATATTTCGGAGACTGTCGGAAACATTTTTCGACCTAGCGATGTTGTTCTGCAACCATTAGGTCACGGGTCGTTTATCATAAATCTTCGGGTCAACCTTCATCTACGAGTCTTCGGAATAATTTCGCTCTCGACGAATAAACAAAAACATCTTCTGTCAAAAGCAATCAGAATTCACCTTTATTGCATTCTATGAATTAATAATTAGAGATATTTATTTCTGTTTCTTTTGCAGACGAAGGTATTGATCAACAACTGTCTCCGACAGCATCCGAAGAAAACGCCAATTCTCAAACCGAACAGCCTTCCGAACCCGAACCGACGATAATCGACGGTGTACGAATTAAAACCGAACCGGAGAAAACGCCGGAAGAAGAGGAAGAAGGGAACACGATAGTCACACCGAGTGAAAACGGGACTCAACTTCACTCTCCGAAGAGGAAAATCAACGGCGAGACGCAACACGATGAAATCGATGTGCTCCGACTTCACCCGAAGATACCTCGAACTTCAGACAGCCCAAACGTGGGCAGAAAACTGCATCAGGATCCGCTCGTGTTGCTGATGCGAGCGTTTCCGAGTCAGTGCCGAAGTGTGCTCGAGTTAGTCCTTCAAGGCTGCGGCGGAAACGTGGTTCAAGCCATTGAGTGTTTGCTTCAAAATCAGGAGAAGAAGCAGTTCCCCTTACCGATGCCCGTCCCGGTGATTGGAGGCGTTGGGGGACCACCCGCCACAATTCATCCAGCCCTGCACTTCCAAGCACCTCCGCTCTTTCGCAAACCGGAGCCTTTTTCGCACAGTTTCGGTCACAGGCCCCCTCTGAGTCCAACCTGTGCATACCCGCCGCCGCCGCCATTACTCAAACCCAAACCACAGGTCAGCGGTTATCCTTTCTCGATGGAAGCCGTCTTGGCTTCACCGCCGAACAATGTTAGTGCGGGCTCAGGATCTCCCAAGGGGGAAGAAAAATCGGTGATGGTACATTTTTGCACAAAGTGCGGCCGAAAGGCGAATTGCGATGACAATTTTTGTGCCTTCTGCGGGCAAAAACTCCACAAATAACATAAAAATGACGTATAACTATTTCTTTAAGTGGGTATGTGTAAATGTATCTTTAAGTATCCATGAGGTATTCCGTAAAGAGAAAGTACATTAACCCTCAAAGTCGAGTGTTCAACGTGAAATTTCTCCTTACAAATTTAATAGAAGTTATGAGACGTGTCAGGAGAGTCAAACAAATGATCGCCCCACCTAATTTTTCTTTTGACAGTTCAACATGTATTGTCATCTTTTACGAGGAGAAAATTTTAAACCGTTGCGGAGATTTGAATGTTGAACATTGGAGCTCAAAGGGTTAATTTATCTAAACGCAAAGGCTTTGCTGATTTACTGTTCTACTTAACGAAGGGGAGTGAAATTTTGTCGGGTATGACTATAGACAATAAGAAAGAAACTTCCTCGGATGAAAATATGGAAAGAAAACAAATCGCGTGGTTATAAACTCCGATCGACTGCCAGAGTTTCACATTCTTTTTTGTTCATCGTCGAGGACGATGTAAAGATTTCTTTGTATATGACGATAACGGAGCAGAACTGAAAAACGGTTTATCGTGAGAAAAAAAACCGCCACGCGTTCAAAGAAGTGATAAAAGATACTTTTGCATTTTAAGCTGTCATTGACGCGGGTTTTCTGAAAAACAAGGCAACAGAACCCGAGATACATAAGGCTCGTGAAATTTGCTCGCTCGTGTGTTTGTCAGTATAATAATATTTATTATTATCACAAATATATATATAGTTAATCGCTTTGATCTCTGAGAGGCACTATCAATCTTATCCTTAAAAAGTTTCGTTCATTTTCTGTGGAATTGGTTTATAATCAAGACTAGAGAAAATTATGAATTCTAATTAAAGTTGGAGAGTAAGGAATTAAGCTTATCGTGTGTGTTTGTTAGCCTACAAGTCTGCAGTATACGGAATTGTGAAAGAAGACTCAATCTAATTTCATTCAATGCTCAATAATACCGTTATTTCCTTCGGTTGTGGGTCTTTCGTTTAAGAGCTCTTTCATCAAAATCGTTTATACAAGCTTTGCTTTTCAAGTCCGACTCATTTCTTACACCGAAAGTTCTTAAAATAAACAAGAGTATATCTCTTAAAAGCGCGGATCAATTAATTGTTTTTCGAGCTTACAGGCCACAAAGTGAGCATTTCGACCCCATATTTAATAGTTCTAATTAATATTATCCTGACCGAATATTTAGAATAGAATAGTTAAATCATATTTCAAATTTATATTCACCAGCAGAAAACGTGGAAAAAGTGAATTTAGAGTTGAGTTCACTGTAATCTTGGCCATTCCCGTTTTGTGCTTGTAATGTTTTGTAGAATGTGACAAAAAAATAGATACTTTATTGCGCGACATTCATACTTTTATATGTACCTTAAGGAAATACGCATGCAGAAATGTTAAAATAGAGATGCCATGATTTCGTTTGCTGCATGGTACAGCTGTAAAAGATGTACGACGACATTAGATACATGATCTTGTACGTGTGTGAAAACATGAATGAATATTATAGCCTCTTTTCAAAATTTAAATTATATACGTTAGTCCGTATTTGTAAAAGTTCGTTTTTACAAGAAGGCGAAAAAATAAAATAAAAATATGCTAACTGCAAAATTTAAAAAATGCTTGTTTGTTACTGATCCCTCCTTGTCAATTGGGTGTCATAAAATTTTCTTAATTCCTAAATTGTATGTGTAAAATCTGGATAGAACTAGTTGGGATATATTGAAAAACAAACCCTACGTTTTCCTGGTTCACTGACTAAATTCCAAAACGTTGTTTAATGAATGGTGGGGGTCCCCCAGCCTCGCGGTTGTGTTGTTTTGGATAACACAAGAATTAGCTGGATGCGTTAGAATTTTCAGACCATCATAACATTGAAATGGGGGTACTAGAGGACAAGGGAGAGTCTTTGATGCAGTTTGATTACATCTTAGTATCGTGGGCGTCATTCTTCGTAGGAAAAAGGTGGCTACTGGTACATTTACCCATAATTCTTATCGCACGAAAACGTAACAACGCTCATTATGATGTAGAGAAGAGTTCTAAAATCTTCAAATCTAAAATACACAGTCATTAGCACAAAGACAAATATTGCAAAAGAATGGCTTTCCTTGTACTTTATATATAGGCTGTGTAAGGTTCGCGTGCTATTGTTGTTTTTTTTTTTTGTTTGTTTTTGTTTTTATTTTCTGTCCTTCCAGGAGTAAAATTCGATTTTTTCGGAATTGGAGAATTCTGGGGATGTAAAAGTGTCCAAAACGACTTTGGGCTTCAATTTCGCTTTTATTATTATGAAAGAGCGTCGCTTATTGGAGGAGTTGCACTTAAAGCTGGGAAGAGCATAGTGACAGTTATGACGGAAAAGACTGAAAACGCACAAGATACGCCCATCCTCAGGTGTGTTTCATTAAATACGCA